ATAAAATTAAGTACTGTAGTATCTGGTCGTTCTGGAATACCAGGACAACTAGTCCAGCAAGAACGATCAATGAAGCCATGAACCCAGAAAAGGTTAGTTGGCATTGTGTCAGTCCATCTTTTTGTCGCCTAGTTTAGGGGGCCCGAAGGTCCTCGAGATTGCCTTACTCTCGAAGTTGAAAAAATGAATCTGACCATTTTGGGCGTAGTAATAAGAGATAATTTTTTTATATATATATTTGTTTCTTCGCCATGTTTTTTGTACAGACGCCCATTGAGAAGCTTCAACGACAACAAGACAACTTGAAAGACGAGGTGACACATTTGAATCTTAAATTAAAATCAGTTCTTCAACATACTACTCAACTTGAGATCATGATGAAAGCCATGATGAAACACCATGGAGTGTCGGTTGAGGACGAACAGAAGGGAGAAGACGACGAGTAACTCTTCGTGACTCCGAATGAATTCCGATCCCTGCCGACTTCAGTCCGAAAGAATCACGACTGAATATAGATTTAAACTTATTGAGCGAGATCAAAAATCTTGGGATACTGAATTAACGGCAGCTGAAACCGATCAACCCCGACTAAAGTACGATGGAAGCCGACTTTTTTCCGATCACTGCCGACCTAAACACGATTCGACTCGGCTACCTGTCGATTTGAACGGCAAATAATGATGACAAAGAAGTCATCCAAAAAAATAGTGAGAAAATTCAGTTACACACCTGACCAGAACCTGAAAAAATGCACAAAAAATCCAACTTTACAAGTATTTATTTCTGTAATTTATTATCAAGTGTTGAACATTTGAATTTATATCAAAAAGGAAGGGATGACTATATTTAATTTTGACAATTTACAAAGTATGAAACTTACATATTTATTTCTGACTCACTTATTGCTTTGAAATGAGAATTAATATTGAATAAAATCATTTCTATTTGTTTTTAAGTATATATTCTTGCTACCATTGCACGTCTCGCGAATAACACATGATTCTTTTATCTTCTATAAAAGAATAAATTTTAGAACGAAAATAATTGCTAGTAAATTATTGGTAATACAATTCGTGAAGGATTACAATTTTCATTAACATAGCGGTGCTTGTGATCAATAATGGAGTCCTGTTTCCTGGTCAATCTTTGGTCTACTCGCTGGTACTTGAAATCAATTGAGACGTATCGAGAAGTATTTATTGACCTCGTGAAAAACTGGTTGAAGATCGGTTTGGTTATCTACAGACGGCATAGTCATTGTAGGAAGACGATGTGAAACAGGTACAGCCCAGTACTGCTTGCAATTAACTTTAGGCCACAAACGGTCTTTAGAACTATCTAAAATATTGTCATCCATAGGATATAAACAAGAAGCGATGTGGATTCTGTATTTCATATCTCGTTCTGCATAGTTCGAATCTTGTGAATTATCTGATCCGTTACCACTCAGAACCCAACTAATAATAGGCACAGCAACGGCCAGAGCTGACAGCGGTATTTCTTCGAGGTTAGTTCTTTCTGGCAAGAAAGGTATGAAAATCCCACGTGCACTTCGTCGAAGTAAAAAATCAATTTGTTCCAAATGCTGAATGGCATCTTCGCCGATTGAAACACGCTTGAAAACCACATTTGGGATCTCTGTGCCTCCCATTGGGAGTTTGTTCCAGTACATCAAACGCTGGCCTTCATCCAATAAACCTTTAAAAGCAACATTTTCTGGTGTGATTGTCCCTGTTGCTATTCCATAGGCAGCACTTGCATCAAGCATGCAGCCCCATGGTACATATAAGAGAATTGATTTGACCTTTTTATTGTTCAAATAGTGCAATCTGCCTGGCAGTAGTGGCTGGCAAACTCCGCCGTGGGCAAGAAAAGTTATGTCGACGATCTTCTCTCTTCTTTCGCTGTCTGTCGGCTCGTATTCTTCGAATTTGGGTTTTAGGAAATTGTATGCTTTAGCGATTATAAGCAAAAAATAATTTTTACTAGATTCTCCCAATTCACCTACAGCATGTTGCCAGGATAGTGCACCTAGGCACTGAGTCCATTCTTCAACTTGTTGGTCATTTATTTCATCTGTACAGGAAATGTTCTCTAAGAGATTATTTAACGCATCCTTAAGCACTACCTCCAAGTTTACAGCCAAAGACCTATGATAGAATACAAACAGGGAATAAAGATTTTAGTAGACAAATTCTTACAATACAGTAAATATTTTTGTTTCAGATGTATTTAGATAGTTTCATCAACATAGTCTAAGCACTATATATACTTACTTAATTTCTGCAATAAAGCTGTCCATTTTTTCCAGTTGTTCCCTAAATCCTTGTTCGATGTCTCGGAGAATTTTGGAAGTTTCACATTCAAAAACATTACTGGTTTGAGACTCATCCATAATTTTATAGATGTCAAACGCTGAAGGAACATCTACAGCTGCTTTGCCTAAAACGCTCTGTACCGTGAGCTCAGATGTTTTGACAACACCTTTGTTGAAGACGTCCTTCATTTTCGGTGCAAGGCGATGAACTATCTCTGTTCCCATACATTTTGAAACTGTACTTGTCTCGGATTCATCGTCTGCTTCCTTATGCGTCGATGACTTTAAAAAACTACTACATACCATGGTGAACACGTTGATTGTGGACGTAAGATTATCATTCACTTCGTCTACCCAGCTATTTGAAAATGTAGCAGCCACAATCAAAGAACATAGAATCTGGTCTTTGGAACCATAGTTAGGGCCGTATTGACTGACGTGCTCAGCATCAGCCATGAGGCTAGTGTACTTATTATCAATAATTGCCATTATGTCTTTGTCCTCGTCCAAACATGACTGAATTTTCACCAGCTTATTCGCGTTGTCTTCACCTGTTTGCTTTTGAACGCCATCGGCTTCTGGCACTTTTGAGGTCACATCAACTTGTTCACTCCCGTTGTTCAGGCAATTAATGAAATCTCTTAGTAAGGCAACAGTCGTTCGTCTTTTTTCTATACATTTCTTGACGTTTTCAGCGAAGGTCCTAGCTTCTTTGGCAGCATTTTGAAGCTTTCTATATAATAAAAACCGTATAATGTACAGGCGTGGATTGTATGCATGTAGAGGGGGTCACAGTGTTCCCGTGAATTTTTCCTTAATAGTCCCTAGTTCAAAATCTAGACTTGAATTATAAAAAATCTCTTAAATCTTAAAAATAGAAAAGGGATGGATCTAAACGTAACCGAGATTTATATGGCCAAAATAATATACAAAACGTCAAGTGTTTCCGTTTTAATATAATGGCTACCATAGCCATTCTAGTCACAATCTATTTCGGCTCCTTGCCGAGCTTCAGGCAAAGCAGCACTTAGACTTAGTAATATACTGAGTAAGCCACGGGAAACAAAAGTGTTCTCTTTTTTTCGTTTATTAGCAGAATACCTTTCCGTTTTCTCTGTACTTGTTCGAGGCCTCGTGTTAACTACTTCTTCCTCTTTGCTCTCTTCCAGTGATATCGCCTAAATAGCGAAATAAAGATGCAACTTAACATATTGAACCTTTTTTCACCAAGTTTAACATTTCATGAGCTTTCATGGAATTAAATAACTGACTCACTTTCGAGTGAGTCAGGCTCGAGTAGGAAGTCCATACGGACCAACTGAATATATAAAAAATGAGTATTTTTCTCTCATTTTCATACTGGATTGCATTTTCTAACGAGGATAATAAAGAAAAGTATAGATTACTTACAATTAAAATACTTACATTATTGATAGGATGTCCGTCAATCAGGACTTCGAGTTGGTGAGCAGCAGTAAATACGCTATGTCGCTGAAACGAACCATTTAGAATAAATTCCCCTTTTTTGCCAATACGTTTGGAGCATGTAATTGGTAAAGGATATTTGATCTGAATCCTGTTTGTTTTTATGCTAATTTTTTCATTACAGCAATTCCGGACTTCGATGACAATATTGTTGGTGTTTGGAATCGAATCCACTTTGCACTTTTTAGGATCAGGAGCAGATTCATCTTTGATTACAACATAGTTCTCCAAGTCACTATAAGATATTTCATTGACTTGTAAGATTTGCTTGTCTTCCTCATCGACCTCGTCATCAATTTCTTTATCTGATAGCTCTGTTAAACGCGATTCGATTTGTGTCTTCATTGACAAAACATCATTATTGCTGCCCTTGACAAGAATATTTTCAGTGAACTCGACTGCGCTTGTCAGACCTGCCAATTGCATCTCAAGACCATCCTGTTGTAAAGAGAGTCTCTTCATTTTTGTAGCCGTCAGATTTGTGGACTCTTGTTTAAGCTTTGCTCGCATCTTTTCCAGGATTGCAATTTTTACGTCAATTTTCTCATCTATCTCTTTCTTGATTTTTTTCTCATTTTTTCTCACTCTTTCTTGCATATCTTTCACTGCCTT